CTCAGAATGTTGGAATTCGTGCCTCATTTCCATGCTGTTGATCTACTGAGTTCCAAAAATCACATCTCTAACACTTTTTAACAAGTAATGCGGCTTCCTTGTCATGAATTTGTCGACCTCAATTTCCTTTCATCAGCTATCTTGAAAGTGCAGCATCTCATCTGCCTTGCAGAAGTTCTGAAAGAAGCAGCTCAAAAGACAAGAGACAATTTGAAGAATGTGACAAATGGTGCTGAACATTAGTGTCATAAGCTGTCAACATCGTGCTGACAATTCATCCATTTGTTGTATTAATATGTGTTCTCTTCTCTTTGTCTCATTTGGGGAATTTAAGGCTGATATTTATAATGAGAAAATTTTTCATGTGTGCAATTTCGGTTTTCGTTGGGATACAGATTTTTTGAATTTTCTGGTGATTACGTGGCTGTCGAGTAGCTTGTAGAGAAATAATTTGTACAAACTTGACTGAAGTTCACCGGGTTTCCAATTTGATTTAAACATTTCAGGTAATCCACTTCCTTGACATCCATCTGACCAGAAACGCCGACAACTCTCTGAAAAGGTCCGTGTACAAAAAGCCTACATGGAATGGACATTGCATAAATTTTCAAAGCTTCGTACCCCTAAGCAGAAGGAGGAACTTGATATACGCTCTTTCCTCGAGGATTCGGAAGATATGCAGCGAGGAAGTGATTGAAGAAGAACTGCGTAATCTCCGAGGTACCTTGGTGGAAAACGGCTGTACCATGCACCAGCTTGCAAAACACGTTCGTGAACACTATCCAGCCTGACTAGTAAAAGGAGAACGAAAACATGTACCTAGTTCAATGACAGAAAATCTAGTCAATTCAGGACATTCATCGCCATTCGAAAAATCCTTCAAAATAGTATACAAGATTCGATCAAACCTAACAAAGGGAGTAAAATTAATACATCTGGGTATCGCCGAGGCACTTATTATTATTGTATTATTGTTCCCTTGGGTTCCTAGTGGAACAAAGGGCTTCAACTACACGTCTCCACTCGCTTCTATCTTCTGCTGTACTTTTCACCTGCATCCATGTTAGTCCATACTGTTTCAACTCCTCTTCACACGATCTCCTCCATGTCACCCTTGGACATCCCACTCACCGCTTCCCTTTCGGGTTCCACTCGAGCGATGGCCTGACGCGCGATGTCACCCAGTGGCCTCCTCAGCGAGTGTTCAATCCATCTCCACTTTATCCTGCATATTTGTTGGGCGATTGGTTCTTGTTTTGTTTCTTCCCATAGTTTCTTGTTGGTGATTCTTTCCGGCCATCTGATCTTCAGTATGGAGCGAAGACAGTTGTTGATAAAGGTCTGCAACAGGCTGTTGGAAATATTCTTTGTGACCCGCCAAGTTTCTGATCCGTATAGAAGAACTGACTGACTTGACGTTTGTATTGAAAATCCGAATTTTGTTGTTGATGCTGAGTGACGAAGATTTCCAGATTGGTTTCAGGTTGGTGAATGTGTTTCTCGCCTTCCCGATTCTCGATTTGACATCTTCGTCCGTTCCTCCTGTAGTTGAGACAATGCTCCCTACATAAGTGGATGAAGTAACCGCTTTCATATCCCTCCCGTTGATGGTGATTGGCACTGGATGTTGCTGCTGTTGTTGTTGTTGTTGGTTGGTTATTTTCATAACCTCCGTCTTGTCTATGTTCACCTGGAGTCCTGTCTTTGCTACTTCTTCGACTAGCTTGTCGGTTTTCGCTTGTAAGTCTTCGATTTTGTGTGACATCAAACATAAATCATCCACGCGCGAAATCCAGGTCTTCTAGGTTCTTCACGTCGGTCCAGGATATCCCTGTCTCCTCGTTTCCTACTGTCTGACGCATAATCCAGTCCACCACAATTAGGAATATCATTGGTGATAATAAGCACCTTTGTCTGACTCCTGTGTTTACTCCAAACGCTTCGCTGAGTTTTCCGTTGTGGATCAATTGACATGTGTCGTTGTCGTACAGTTGTTGAATAAGGTTGATGAATATTTGGGGTACTCCGTAGTACTCGAGTAGTTTCCAAATTACTTCGCGGTCAACGCTGTCGAAGGCCTTCTCAAAGTCTATAAAGTTGATGCAGACGTTTGATTGCCATTCCATGCTTTGTTCGATGATGATGCGTAAAGTTGCAATTTGATCAGAACACGACTTGCCTTTCCTGAATCCAGCTTGTTCTGGTCGGAGTTCTCTATCCAGTGCGTCCTTTATTCTCTCCAGGATGATGCGACTCAGGATTTTACTTGGCGGCCGAGGCACTAGCTATCCAAAAACTCAGACTCACGCTATGTATCCAAAAGAAATATGTCCAACCCTTGTCCCTGCCATGGCCATCAAAAACAGGTAATTCTTTTAATAGTGACTATCCCATCGCCTTTCTTATCCAAACTTCCTGTTTATTCATGTTATTTTTAAGTTTTTCTTAATCCCTATTTACACTACCTGTCTGTTTTTTCATTTTATTATTTCTACATATTTAATCCTTAATTGCATAAACAATTATTCGTCATATTAGTTATGATCCCACTAGATTTTTTTATCCAAACATCCTGTCTGTTTTGTTATTTCTACATTTCTAACCCCTAACTGCACGATTTATCAATCTTCTCAGTAATTACGATGCTACTGTGTTTGAGTTTTATCCGTCCCCCTGTTTATTATGGCATTTTAATTCCTAATTGTAATTTTATTAATTTGACCCTTAATCGGAAATTATTCTGGAACTTTCCCATTCATTTATTATAAATACAAGAATGTACAGACTAGTTGATGACTTCCTCGAAAAGAAAATTTTCTTCGCTGCAACTGTCTTTTTATTTTTCAGTTAATCTGTTAAATATTCCTTTTCACAGTATTTGAGTGAAAACAATGTTTCAAGCGATCTAGTTATGTGAATGTAAGTTTAGATTGAATTGAATTTGAATTATACGACTTATATCGTACTATGGAAACTATGGGAATATTCATCATATATCATTTTAAATAATCCCAGAGTGTTTAAGAAAAATATCAAAACAAGATTTTTTTTGAATGTTTCTCCGTGTAGGCCACAACTTCTTCAGCAGCAGAATTATTCGGGTTTTATCGACCATCTAAATTATATAGTCAAAAACTAAATAAATTGAAGTTAGCTCCTTTGAAGGTCACTTGTGGGTAGACATTTGTACCAATAGAAGAATGTAAACAGTCATAACATATTAGTAATGACTGATGTCAAATTAAAACAATTAGTCCCTTTAATAAATTTGAATTAGGCATGTAGAAGACAGATTTCGCGAGATGTTATCAATTTGTCAAATTGTCATATGTGTGTATTTACCGGTACGAGTGTATGTATATTGTTTGTTATGTGGAAAACGCGTCAAAACATGATAATATTTCACAGTGGTCATAATATAGGATTGAATTTTTTCCCTCATCTGCTTTGCTTCAGTAGAGTCTGCCATATAGGTGATAAGTCTATCCCTTCTCTCCTATTTACTTCATTCGACGTGGTTAAAATGTGCAAGGCTTCAGAGGTCAGCCTTTCTTTGTGTGAATGAAAGCCTTTTCAGCATTGTCGAAATGAATTTATGTCCGCCGTCTACAACATGCATTAATATAACTGATCTTCTTTCTAGACTTTTTAATTCCACTTCATTTCTAGGTGGATGTTTCGTGCACAGTCTATGTTCATTTACTCTGACTTTCACCTGTCTACTGCTTTCTCCTATATGGCAGGCTTCCCATTCTGAACACTTTATCCTATAGACACAGTTGTTCTGCCATTTCGGGAACCACATCTTTGGCATTCACCAACCATGAAATTATGACAAGTTTTGATACGGTTTCTTTATTTACTAGTATTCCCGGTTCTGTGCTGAAACCAGTCAGTCAGTCTTAACAAGGAACTCGGTAATATTCGTGATCTACTCTGCAGAAATAGATATTTGATGGAATTCCTTAAATAAATCCATGTGGATTTAGAAAGCACCAAGATGTCTATGGCTCTAAGATGAATCAGTGTTCCCAAGACTACATTTCATGAGAGACGTTAACGGAAAAATTGTTTCACAACATTTTACAACAGCTTTTAAAAGAGCTACATTATGCTGCTTATTCCGCAACCAGTTCATATTCTCAAGAGTTGGTTTGTAAGGATTATATTTGTCGCTTGTCTACGCCAACAAAGTATACAGCAGCTACCCGACTTCCCACCCCGCCACTTAGGCGGGAAAACACAACGAGGTAAGACGGAAAGTATATTTACGTAAGGAAACAATTATATACACACATATATTTATACATATATCGTCAGTGTTGTAGACGTCAGAAAGGAAAACCCGTTGTTTATCTGTTTATTTCCAGACTGAACATCGGTTACCATATGAGTTAGTGATACCGTATTGGGGTGATATTTAAAGTGAAGGCTTTAGTTGCTGCAGCAGTGTCGAGACGTCTTTAGGACATGTCTCGGATACTCCATCAACTGAGATTACAAAAGTTATGTGCTGACTGCCTCAGATTCATTTCATAAAGGCTTCGTTAGACAATGTTATCTTGTACATAACTGTCCATTGAGCAAAGTATGCCAGCTCATGTCTTCTCGTCTCATTTCAAGTTACCACACTAGTATCAATTTGACAGATAGTGCTTGTCTCATTTAACAGTGTAATCTGGCTGTTCGAATCCTCCTGTCAGATACAGGACTCTGAATAGTCACTCTTTGTTTAAATTGTACGTTCAAACCAATCAGCCTGATGTAGTATGTGTATTGTAAACCAGTATGACATTAATTACTGGTACGCTAGACTATGATCTATGTCTTTTGTGTAACAGTGGGGGGATATTGTCTAGCTGTTTGAACTTTGCTTGTTGGAACAGGTTCGAGATCATCAAGTGAGAAGCTAAGTCAGTTAACTGCAATTCATGCATTGCTCAACACAGTCTATCAGTGTGTACTAATGTATATGAGTTTACTAGTATGCTCAGTCAATCGTTTGTTTCCTAATTTTGAACTTTCCTCGAAAACTGTTTATATCGTTGAGTTTTTTTTGATTACTTTTTGTTTATCTTTTCCCCACAGCCCATACCAACTGACACAACTACAGAGTATGATTCAATGAAAACAAAATCTGAGTCTGACGATTCAGATTCAGACCATAGTGATTCATCCTATGATATTGATGATGGACGGACAGTTACACATGTATCAAAATCAAAGGGTAAAAAGAAAGCTAAAAAGGATGGTCAAGTTGGTATAAGTGGTGACAAAGCTGCACAAGATAAGGCGAATAATGATGAGAGTGAAGAGAGTGATTTCGATCTAGAAGCTGCTCTAATGGATGAAGATGATAATGACAATAAAAGTGAGATTACAGGAGCTCCAGATGAACTGTCAGAATTCGAGTTGGAAGGTGATTCCAGCGATGAGTACAGTGACGAGAAGGACTCGTTTACTACAGATTTTGATGGTGATGATAATGAAGATTCCGATGTTGAAATGACTGACCTAACTAAATCTTCTGAACCTTCTGTTAATCGAAAAAAGAAAACGTCAGTAGCGGTTAAGAAGAAGGTGAAAACAAACAACCATGTTGTACCTAAAAAACCGATTCCCAAAGGGAAACGTGTGAGCGCTACATCGAAATCCCAACAACCTGCAATTAAACACTCAGATCCAACCAAAACACAAAGCCTAGTAAAGGATAAAAAGAAGAAAGCTAAGAAAAGGCCCATTGTTGACAAATAACTTGTGAAACTTTGTATGTATATATATATAAATTCTTGCATCTTTGGTTCTCTTCACTTTTATCACCTGATAAATGTACATGAAAATACTTGCATTTAAATACATAATTTCACATGGAGACAATTCTTGTTTGATTCTACATAATTACGACGGCGAATAAAAGGTGATAATCATTTCCAACTAGATATGGTTTTTTACGAGAGGCTTAGAAACAAAATTACACAGGATTAGAACGGATATCAAGTGTGTAAAAATGAGCATGGAAACAAAATTGAAATAATAATTTTCAACTTGAGATGGGAATCAGGAGGTGCGAATATGGATTACAAGAGCCTTAGAAATTATACAGGGTTACAACGAATTACAGGTGTATCGAAAATGAGCGTGAAAACAAAAGGCATATGTATGGCTTGCCAAAAATAGATAAACCCAATAATTCTCTACGTCCTATATTGTCAATGTGCAAATCTCCAACACATAAACTTGCTAAATGGTTAGTAGAATTATTGCATCCAGTCAAAACACAATTCTGTAAGTATGTGTTAAAAGATACATTGGAATTGGTTGATTTACTTGACAATAGTAATATTAATATTATGAATAAGAATATGTACTCTTTTGATGTAAACTCGTTATTCACTAATGTGCCTTTGCTCAAAACAGTTGACATTTTGTGTGATTATATTTCCACAAACAATTTTTTCATCCCTTTCCCTATATCTTATTTAAGGGATTTATTACTTCTATGTACTAACAATGTTAGGTTTACATTTGAAGGCGATTGTTTTCGCCAAGTTGATGGTGTTGCTATGGGAAGTCCGTTAGGGCCCATTTTAGCATATATTTATATGTCGTACATTGAGAATTTATCGGAGGATTTAATCGAAAATGTGCCACTTTATAGAAGGTATGTAGATGATATTTTAATCATCAGTGATAAGTCTTGTTCTGCCACCTCAATTTTAAATCGAATGAATGAAGTCCAGAATAGCATATCACTTACATCTGTAGAAGAGGAAGATAATTGTTTATCTTTCCTAGACATATTGCTTAGTCGACGGCTTGATGGGTCAATAAAAAGATCTATTTATAGAAAACCTACCTGGACATGCCAGTATCTTAATTACCACAGTTTTTGCCCTGTTCGGTAAAAAAGAGCCTTAGTAAGGTGCCTCTTCAGTAGAATCCAACGAATATGCACTGAAGACACACTTGATGCGGAAGAAGGAAAATTGACACAAACTCTGGTTGATAACAATTATCCAGACAAGTTCATCAGGAGATATAAAGTAGTCAGAACACCAAGACCCACTCTCCAAGTCGCCCCTAAGAAAGACGTGTACATCAAGCTACCCTATATGGGGCATCAAAGCAGCTTGATAACTAGACAAAGACTGAACGCTGCTGTCAAAAAGACTTTTTATGCAGCCAATATCATAATAATAGAGAATGTAAAGCCAATATATCTATCTAAGCCCTTCGAACTTGCGAAAAATGACGTCACATCCCACTGTATTTACCAATTTGAATGTACGTGTGGACACACATACACACGGGAGGACTCATCGATCTCTGCAAGTAAGGGCTTCAGAGCATATTCCTAAATGCCACCAGAAACAAATGGAATCTTCAGAACCTATTAACGGCGAGAACAGGAGACCTAGCTCATCTATTGCGAAACATATTATAGAGACAGGACATAAAATTGACGTTAACAGATCTTTTAAACCTCTCTATAAAAAGTGTTTGGGGCGTATCCTAAAGTTTGTGGAAGCCCTAGCAATTAGAAAGTCTAAGCCACCTTTATGTGTTCAAAAACAATTCACCACATTAAACCTTCCTTGGTAAATTTGTTTTGACACCATAGCAGATGTACTATTACCTCTGTTATTTGGTTTAGTGGTCTTCATTGTTACTTTGACCTGGAATATGTCCTTTAAACTTGACCTAAGTCTATTTTCTCACCTCTTACCCCTTTATTAATTTCATATATATTCCTATGACAAGTCCGTGTGTGATCAGATTGTTCGAAATGTGCTGCGCAAATACATTACACAATTCAGACAAATTACGTCATCTTATTGCTTTATCTAAATTCATAAAGGGAACCAATTGTTTTAAAAATTGAAATAATAATATTCAACTTGAGATGGGAGTTAGGAGGTGCGAATATAGATTACAAGAGCCATAGAAATTATACAGGGTTACAACGAATTACAGGTGTATCGAAAATGAGCATGGAAACAAAATTGAAATAATAATTTTCAACTTGAGATGGGAGTTAGGAGGTGTGAATATAGATTACAAGAGGCTTAGAAACACAAAAATTGCACAGGATTAAGATATAATTGTTAATTTTTTTAAAACGAATTATAAATGTGAACAGGAAAAGCATGGAAACAAACTTAAAATAACTGTTTTTATAACTGGAAAAAATGGAGTGAATCGAATGAAGACTGCGGGAGTAAGAATCACACAAATAGCGAACGAAAAAGGGTCAAAAAGAAAAAAGAGAACGAAAGAAGAAAAAAACGGAAGCTAAGGTGACATACCGAGCTAGGTCCATAGTAGTTGTAGAGGTTGGACTAATTTCTTTTGAACACACAGCTCTGGCTTCTCGATGCATATTGCGAGGGCTTCTGCATTACAGAGAAGTCGGAAGAAACATATCACAGAGATCTTCCGCTCTTTGTGAATTATGATCATGTGAGAGACAATCGTTCAATGAATACGTTATCCTAGTGCAGAATAGAAGAGCGGAAAATGTTAAGTCAGATTTGAACAAAAGCCTGAAACCCGTGGAAGTTCAGAATAAATTCCCCGGCGATCCTAATAAATTTGTCTTCAATCACTCTTCAGTTCCGTTATCAACGGTACAACTAGAAGCTCTATCTCTTGGTCTAAAATTCTGTGACGTTAATCTTAACAGCAACAGACTTCATACGTACATTCAATTCGAGAATCTCATAAGCCAAACTCATGATATTACTCCAGTTTCCGACGCAGAATTTCTACACTTTAAGTCAACAATCTTCGACTGCTGTAATCAGTATCTCAGCTTAAAAACTCAAGCCAGACGTCTCCTGACAAAAGAACATAGACAACAACTCAAAGAACTAAGAGACAATAAAGATTTGATAATAACACGTCCTGACAAAGGATCAGGAGTGGTCCTAATGGATAGAGATGTATATATTAACAAATTGACAACACTTATATCAGATGACAAGAAATTCGCCAAGCCCAACAACGAGAAAAACAAGACGGAACTGATCGAAAAACAACTAACAGATGTTCTCAGAAGAATGAAGAACGACCGTCTGCTACCTGAGGACCTGTTCGATCGCCTAAAACCGACAGGATCAACCATTCCCCGACTCTACGGCTTACCAAAGGTGCACAAACCTGGCTTGCCGCTTCGACCGATTCTAGACATGTCAGGGTCACCATACCATCCAATCGCCAAATGGTTGTCCGAAGTGTTGGAGCCGGTAAGACAACACCTATGCAAATACTCCCTTCGCGATACTTTTGAGTTCATTGAATGCATAAAAGATTTGAATGTAAATGATAAACGAATGTTATCACTAGATGTCGAATCTCTCTTCACCAACGTGCCACTAACAGAAACAATTTGCTTTCTGTGCAATTATATGGAGAAATCCAATATAAACGTCGGAGTACCAATATCATATCTGAAGGAATTGTTGCTGAGATGCACGCTGAATGTACAATTCACCTTCAACGGCGACATCTACAGACAGAAAGACGGAATTGCAATGGGATCTCCTCTTGGCCCGCTTTTAGCAGACTGCTTTATGGCCAGTTTGGAGAGTGGAGTTTTAAAATCAACAATAAACAAGTTACTACTGTACAAAAGGTACGTTGACGATACCTTTATAGTCTGCCACGATAACTCGGACCTCAACTGCATCTTACAAGAATTTAATAATTCCCATCCTTCGATTAAATTCACAATGGAATTAGAAAACGATTCAAAGATTCCATTTCTGGATGTGGAATTAACAAGAAGAGATGATGGAACCCTGAAGAGGTCCATCCACAGAAAACCGACATGGAACGGCCAACTAACGCATTTCTATAGTTGGATACCTTTGAGCCGAAAACGAGCTCTCATCATCGCACTTACTCATCGCATTAGAAAAATCTGCAGCAGCGATTGCATGGAAGAGGAGCTCCTATTCCTCAAAAATATCCTGGCTCAAAATGGATACCCAACACGTTTTGTCGAAAAGAACATGAAACCTAAAATAAAAAGAGAAGAATGCGATTCAGCGCCAAAGAAAACGCTGTATCTGAATCTGAATTTCAGGGGAGATTTGGCAGCCGACATCCTGAAGAGGAGAATATCCAGCTCTTTAAAGAAGACCTTCCCTGCAGCAACACTAAGAGTGACATTCTCTAGCCGTCCAATACTTCGAAACAACACGAAGGACAAACTCTCGCATATGACCAATTCAATGTGCATATACCAGTTCACCTGCTCGTGCGGAGCTAGGTACATAGGTCGTTGTATGCGCGTCCTTTCAAAACGTGTTAGAGAACATTACCCAGCGTGGCTGCAAAGAGGAGGCACCGGTTCAATCAGAAGTGCCATTATTGAACATCTGATCAACACCTCCCACAACATCTCAACTGATTCTTTCAAAGTAATTTACAAAGTCAACAGAAACCTACCGAAAGCAGTTTGTTTCCGACTTCTCTGTACTGCAGAAGCCCTCGCAATATGCATCGAGAAGCCGGAGCTGTGTGTTCAAAAGAAATTAGTCCAACCTCTACAACTACCATGGACCTAGTTCGGTATGTTACCTTAGCTTCCGTTTTTTTCTTCTTTCGTTCTCTTTTTTCTTTTTGATCCTTTTTCGTTCGCTATGTGTGTGATTCTTACTCCCTCAGTCTTCATTCGATTCACCCCATTTTTTCCAGTTATAAAAACAGTTATTTTAAGTTTGTTTCCATGCTTTTCCTGTTCACATTTA